AAATATCTATATTCTTTAATCAAGGATCAAGCCTGGTACTTTCAGGTTGTAAAGGAACATAAGAGCAAGAATAGGCCATTTGAGCTTGTTTTGCCATGATACCAGATGTTCGATAAGCAAAGGCACTATAGTTTCAGAGGTAGGCAGGAATGTAATCAAATCATCTATGAACTTATTGAATGGTAGAGCAAGCTGCAAGGACTGAGTAGTCTACATCTGCTCCTAGTTCATATGTTTGTGTTTTCAGCAATAAAATCATGTCTGATCTGACAGTAAAAATCTATTTTCCTGTCTAATGAGCTTCACCTCCGTCTTAAAAGGTGACCTGCTTTCCTTATACTGTGACCATTATTTCTCATCTGTCCACAAGAGAAAACATCATCCCAGCATTCAATCTATCAAGGCCCCACAGAACCTTGCATGTTTTAATAAAATCACCTCTCATTCATTTAACCTCCAAGGGTTTAAGGCTTCAACTTCTCGTCACAAGATAAGCCCTTCATCTCTGAGTGAGTCCAGTGAACCTTCTCTGGAATGCTTTTCAAAATGAGGATCCTAAAATCTGTTCATAATATTCTAGACGTGGTCTCAGCAAGACTATATATATCTATAGTAAAACATCCTTACTTCTAAATTCTGATCCCTTTTTAATAAATGTTAACATACAATTAGCCTTCCTATTCACTTAGAGTCATAGAGCTGTATAGCAAGGAAACAGACCCTTTGGTCCAACTTGTCCATGCCAACCATATATCCTAATTTAATCTAGTCCCATTTGCCAGCATTTGGCCCATACCCTTCTGACCCCTTCCTATTCATGTACCTACTCATCCAGATGCCTGTTGAATGTTGTAATTGTACTGGCCTCCACCACTTCCTCTGGCAGCTCATTCCATACACGCAGCACCCTCTGTGTGAAAAAAGTTACCCCTTAGGTCTCTTTTAAATTGTTCCACTCTCACCTTAACTGTGTCTTCTAGTTTTGGAGTCCTGGGAAGAAAAAGACCTTGGCTATTGACCCTATCCATGCCCCTCATGATTTTATAAACTTTTATAAGTTCACGCCTCAGCCTCCAGTGCTTCAGGGAAAATAGCCACAGCCTATTCAGCCTCTCCCTATAGTTCAAACCCTCCAACCTTGGCACCATCCTTGTACTCTTTACTGCACCCTTTCATGTTTAACAACATCTTTCCAAAAGCAGGGAGACCAGAATTAAGCACAGTATTCCAAAAGTGACCCAACCAACACAGCCACAACGTGACATCCTAACTGCTATACTCAATACACTGACCAATAAAGGCAAGTGTTACAAACACCTTCTTCACTACCCTGTCTATCTGTGACTCCACCTTCAAGGAACTTTGAACTTGCACTCCAAGGTCTCCTTGTTAAGCAACACCCTCAAGGTGTTTGCTTCTTTTCTATTTTGCTGCCAACATGGACAAATTCACATTTTCCTACATTAACTTAGCTTATCAATGTCCCTTTGTGAACGCTTTACCTACTCTTGACCTACTTTCCTATCAATTTTGATGTCATCAGCAAATTTAGCCATCATACATCCAGCCTTCTCAACCAAATCACTGGTATAGATTGTAAATAGCAGAGGACCCAGCATTGATCCATCTGGCATTCCACTACGGACAGGATACCAACTCAAAAGCAACCCACTTATCCCTACTCACTGCTTCCTATTAGTTAACCAACGTTAGCTAATGTGTAATTCCCTGCACATTGTGCTCCTCTCTTGAGTAGGAACATTTGATATGGCACCTTGTCAAATCTCTTTTGGAAATCTAACTGCAACACATCTACAGGTTTCTCTTGGCCTTGTCTGTTACTATCTCAAAGAATTCCAATAATCTAGTTAAACACGGCTTCCTTTTCATAAAGAAATTGTAATTCTACCGTATACATTTATGAATTTCTAAATATCCTGCCATAACTTCCATTATAATAAATTCTACCAAATTCCCTTTGACGGCCTTTAGGTTAACTGGCATTTAGCTTCCTGCTTTCTGTCTCCCTTCTTGCCTTGTAGACATCTCTCCATTTACATCCCTCTACATTCAGCATGGTAGTTACAACTGAGCCATTAAACCACCAGCCAACCTTTGATGTGCAAAGCCATAGGTGAGATGATAATGTACATAATCACATGATTTTGTCTATAGCTCTTACCACCTTTCTCTTGTTCTGCTCTTTTAAACTTGTTGTGTTCCTTGTGTGTCAGATGTCAGACAGAATCATACGCAAGGAATTATTATTTTACTTGTGAACCTTAGCAATGTGGGCCAGCACAGTATTCAACTGTAGGCACTTTTCATTATTTGAGTTTGATCATGTCCCCACCCACTGTCCATACATTTCCAACAAGATCAGGAATCATAACAAATTTTCTGCTTCTTAACCAAGGGCTATTCACATCAATTATAATGCTCATGTTGGTATCACAACACAGAACAGCTAGCATACAACAGAACAATGGTGAAAACTGAAACCTTACCGGTTTACATGCCTTAACATATTTCTTTTAAACTGAATATTAGTTGGAATTTTTGAAAGACTCAAGGTTATTTCAGATATGTTTTGCAGAGGATTAACAGTTATAGTCATAGAATAGGACAACATGAAAGGAGACCATTCAGCCTGTCGAGCCATGACTGCTCTCTGCAAGAATAATTTAGCTATTCCCACTCCAATCCCACCTTCATTTTCACTAGAGTCCTACAAAAGTTTTATCTTCACTTTATTTTTGAAAGCCACATGGGAATCTGCTTCAAACATTTCCTTAAGAAGTGTATTTCTAAAGATATTTTGTCTCTTTTTTAAAATCAGGTCACATAAACATTTTGCTTATAATGAAATCCTTCTTGAAACTGATATATTTTATAAATTTCAGATTTCTTGTTGAGAAATGCTTGACTAAAATTTGCTTCTTTTGGAAGTACTGAGTCCACTTTTGATGTCATTTATATAAATTATTTGGATGAGAATTTAGGGGGCTTGGTTAGTAAATTTGTAGATGACCCCAAAACTGGTGGTATAGCGGAAAGTGAAGAAGGTTATCCAAGAATATAAAGAGACCTTGATCGATTGGGTCAATGGGCTGAGGAGTGGAAGATGGAGTTTAATTTGGATAAATGTGAGGGATTGCATTTAGGTAATACAAACAAGGACAAGACTTACACAATTAATGGTAGTGCCCTGAACAGTGTTGTAGAACAGAGAGACCTAAGGGTTCAGGTACATAATTCTTTGAAATTTGCATCACAGGTAGACAAGGCAGTTAAGAAGGTGTTTAGCATGCTTGCCTTCATTGCTGAGACCTTCGAGTATAGGAGATGGGATGTCATATTGAGGTTGTACAAGACATTGTTGTACAAAAGAGAGGCCTCTTTTGGAGTACTGTGTGCAGTTCTGGTCACTCTGCTATAGGAAGGATAATATAAAGCTGAATAGAGTTCAGAACAGATTTACCAGGATGTTGCTGGGAATGTAGGGTTTGAAATATAGATTGGAAAGGTTGCTAACAGTAGATTTGTAGCTCGGGTTGTGGATATTGTGGTTGCTTGGTTCGCCGAGCTAGTTCGTTGTTTTTCCACAGATATTTCATTACCCTGCTGGGTAACATCAGAGCAGCCTCCGATGAAGTGCAGTTGTGTTTTGCTGCCTGTTATTTGGAACAATTTTCACTGGAGAGTAGGTGGTTGAGGGGTGACCTCATTGAGATCATGATATAAAGTCATGAGGGACTTAGATAAGTGAATGACAAGGGACTTTTCCCTAGAGGGGGGGAGTTCAAAACTAGGGGGCATACTTTTAAAGGGAGAGGAGAAAGATTTAAAGAGGCCACAAGGGCAACAGAGTGAGTACACAGAGAGTGGTTTGTGTGTGGAATTAACTGTTGAAGTGGTGGATATAGGAACAATTACAACATTTAAAAGACATTTGGATAAGTTTGTGAATAGGAAAGGTTTGGAGGGATATGGGCCAAGTGAAGGCAGGTGAGACTAGTTTGGTCAGCATGGACTGATTGGACTGAAGGATCTGTTTCCATGCTGTATGACTGTTTGACTTTAGTGTATCAGAATGTGCCACTCATGGATTTGGATGTTGCTACGTTGGTTGGAAATACATCGGATTTACCAACCTTTCAACCCCAATGCTACCAAGGGATAAATTTGTGCATTTTGGGGCTGGAAGACCAATAAATGCCACATGTCCAACTCTTCCTAAGTATATCTTATGTCGACGGCTGTACACTGTAGGGCTGAATAGCAGCCGGGACGTGGGAGATATTGCTCTTGCCGAAACGAAGGTAGAGTATAAAGATTGAATGAAAAGATATAAGATCAAATTAAATGAAAAGAACACAGACGTCATTGGACATTTTTTAAAAATTATAACTGAAAAGTGCCCTCTTCAATTCTCTGGTGCAAATTTAGTCAAATAAACAATGACTGCAAACCCTCTGAAACAAGATTACAAGTACTCGGAACTACTGCATTCGTGCTATTTAGATAAACACACTCCTGGCTCGACTTATTGCAAATAAAGGTTACCAACCTGAAACGTTAACTCTGTCGTTCTCTCTCTCTCCTTACAGATGCTGCCAGACCTGCCGAGTTATTTGCTGTTTTTATTATGGCTGGACTGCTGTGGTCCAGCTACAGTGCTGCAGTCCCGACTTACTAACTGTTTCCATATGCTGCGAGGTGGCCCGATGTATTTTTTTATATATAGGAAAAGACTGCAGCTTACAAACCTGCACCCAGTGTTTAATCTTGAGTCACTGATGCTTCATGTTCAGACAATGAGTCAAATAAGAGTGTCGTTTCAAGGTAATTAAAGCCCACTTATTATTGCTAAGCACCCGAAAAAAACAATGAGTAGAGATACAATATAACAAACGGTTGGATTGAGAGTTTTGATCATTTTAAATGTTGATTGACTTGCCCCAAAGAAAGTGCTTCAAAGATGCTCCATGCAGTCTCACCTCAACATAACCTTGCAAAGTGAAGAGATCGGTTCTGCACAAGTTCTAAATGGTGTAATTTCATCGCCTCTTTTTCTTTTGTTTGTTTATTTGTTTCGAAGTCGCGAAGGTTTTAAAAGTCGTCTGGACTCAGCCAATCTCCAGCCCAGCGTCAACAGCCGCAAGCAGCAACTCCGACCAGGGGAGCCGCCCGCCCCGCCTACCGCGGGCGCCTATTGGTCACTGCTCTGCGCGCACGTCCCATCAGCGGCCTTCGATTAGCCATCTGGGCAGTCAATCATCTGTACGTTAGCTGGAGCGAGCGCCGCCTGCCGCTTGAAGGGTGGAACTGCACGCATGGGAAAGTCCGGAGGGTCGATGTGGCACCGTAAAACTTGGTCAGAACTTCCTAACTCTTCAGCGCGCACGTCTCACAGAGAAAATGTTTATGGAAATACACATCAAAATTTAAGTTAGTTGATATCCGCACTTAACTTTCATTAATTGGTTGGATTAAGCAGGAATCTATACATTTTGATTCTATAGTCAACCTCGGAAGTAGTGTATTTCTGTGACAAAAGCTTCAAGCAATTTTTTTTGTGTCTGGAAGAGTAGGTTACTGCAAATCTTCAGCGATTAAACATTAATTTCTCCAACGTTGCAGATATGAAATAACATATTTTCTTAGAGGGAATGTATGCTGATTCCATTAGTAAAATTATCAATCGTGCTCAAAAACTGAATCACATTCCCCATTTGCTCACCCAGATGCTGATCAGTATTCCCGATCCGCAGCAGGATTCCTGGACCCCTCTGCTCGGTCAAGCGATTTGTATTGGCGGCATTTTGCTTTGAGCTAACTGGTCAGTCATTTTAATGTGGGATGTTATCGTTGCAGTCAACTTTAAAAAACAATCATAGTTCTCTTCAATATTTTTTCCTGAAGAAGGGTCCCGACCCGAAACGTCAGCTTTCCTGCTCCTCTGATGCTGCCTGGCCTGCTGTGTTCATCCGGCTCCACACTGTGTTATCTCAGACTCCAGCATTTGCCGTTCTTGCTATCTCTCATGGTTCTCTTCAACTTAGCCACGTTGAACCGCTATGCAGTGGTTCCACAGGATAAAGCATTATATTATGTCAAGTATTATTGACTTTGCTGTTTGTTGTGATCCACCAATCTCGTTGCTGACAAAAGCATATTGTTGTCTTCTGTGAGAGGGTCGCTTCCAGAAATATGATTTGGCTTTAAAAGTCTATATTAGTCAATAATATCTTCAAGACAGACAGCTAACAACAGTTGATCATGTCATTAACATAACAGAAATGAGGTCCAATTTATTTTAGCAGGCTATTGGTAAAACTTTGAAAATAATTCTACAATTAAACATTTCAGAAAATTACTAATTTCATATGTATGTGTCTGGCCGTGTCTTTAAAATAATATCAATTATTTTAGTGTAGTGTGAGCTTGCTGAAGAATATGGCTGACTTTATTGGAGATCACCTAAAACTAATCTAAGCATCTTCAACCAGAAGTGTCAAGTGTATAAGCAATCCCAGCCTCCTCCTGTGCTCCCCAGTATCAGAGATATTGATCAGTGGCCATTCAGTTTGACTCACTCCTGCAAAGGCTTTGTGCCCTGACAACATTCTGACAAGAGTACTAAAAATTTGAGCTCCAGAACTAGCTGCATCGCTTGCCAAGTTGTTCCAGTACAGCTATAACTCTAGCATCTACCCAGCAAAAACAAGGACAAATCCAGTCCAGCCAATTGGTCTATTCTCAATCTTCAGCAAAAGTGATGGCAGGCTCTTTTGATAGTGCAATCAAGCGCAGTTACTCAGCATTAACATGCTTAATAAAGCTCAATTTGGGTTCTGCCAGGCTACTCATCTCCTAACTTCATTACAACCTTAGATCAAACATGGAATTAAACTGCAAAGGTGAAGTGGGAGTGACTGCCCTTGACATGAAGGGAGCGTGGTGTCAAGGGCCTTCAGCAAAACTGAAGTCAACAGGAATTCGGGAGAAACTCTTTGCTGGTTGGAGTATGAGTATGATATTTGTAGGAGTTATGATAATGATAAATATGGACCATTAGGCAACTTCCATCATATTATTCTTAATACCTAAAACTTTCATGGACTAAATTGTTTTTTTTAAAGAGAAAAATACTGATCTAAAATCATTTCTGTGATTACTTGGCCAGAGATTGCAGCAAGACCAAGGAACATATTTGGAATACATTAAATTGGCTGCAGTACAATTACCATTTTACTCAAAGACAGTGAAATCAGACAGCTAAGTTAGTAACAAGGAAATTGCATCTACTATTCAATTCACACCAGAGGTCAATCACCTCAGTCAAAGGACATCACCGCAGGAATAACTAAACGTAGTGTTCTAGGTCCAATCATCTACTTCTACTTCATCAATTACTTTCCTCCATCCTAAGATCAGAAATGGGATGTTTGCTCATGATTGCACAATGCTCAGAATTATTTACAACTCCTCAGGTAGTGAAGCAGTGTGTGCCCAAATACAGCAAGATCTGGATAATATCCAGAACATCACTGAAGCAGTTCCTTGCAGCATTGCCCCAGACCCAGCTGCTTCAGTGACCTTCCCTCCATTATAAGCTCAAATGTGAAGATGTTTGCTCATGATTGCGCAATGTTTAGCACCATTTGCAAATCTTCAGGTGCTGAACACTCCATGTCTAAATAAAGCAAGACCTGGACCACATCCAGACTGCTGATGATAAGACAAATAACATTTGTGCCACACAAATGCCGCACAACAAGAGAGAATCCTACCATCACCCCTTGGCATCAATGGCATTACCATAGCTAATTCCCGTAGTATTGACCTCCTGGAGGCTACCATTGACCAGAAACTGAACTGGATTAACCATATCAATAATATGGCTGCAATAGGAGGGTAGAGGCTCAGAAATCGGTGCAGAGTAATTCATCACCTTGCTCTTCAAAACCTGGCAATTTCCTCCTGCATGTATATCACTGTGTCACCACCCAGTGGACCTGTCCCATTGATAGTGATGTTGGTATCTGGTACATGGTCTGGACATATGATTCCATGTCTAGTTTATGGGACAACCCTCTCAATTTTGGCACAAGCCCGCAATGTTAGTGATGAGGACTTTGCCAAATTGAATGGACTGAGTGTGCTGTTGTTGTTTCTGGTGCCATGCTCGATGCTGAATGGGCCATCCAATTTAATTTTTTTTAAGTTTAGCAGTTATGAATAACCAAATGGCTTGCCAGGCCACTTTAGAGGGCAGTTAAGAGTCACCCACATTTCTGTGGATCTGGTGTTAGATATAGGCCAGACCAGGTGAAGATGGCAAAGTTTCAATTCCTAAAGGACAATAGTTAAGTAAGTAGGTGGGTTTTTTTATTACTATTTGCAATGGCTTCATGATCATCACAAGTGATGGAATTTGAATCTCTATCCCTGGAATATTCACCTTTGCCACTGGGTTAGTAATCCCGAGACGATGCCACTACACAACCGCCTTCCCACATACCTTGACGAGTGAAGTTCCAATAACACTCAAGAAAGTTGACACATCCAGGACAAAGTATCCTTGATTTGCACTCTAACATGGTCAACATTCACTCCCCTCACCACCAACACATAGTGGCAGCGGTGTGTACCATATATAAGATGCACTTAACATCTGTTATTTGGAAAATGTTAGAGACTATTATAAAGAATGGAAAAACAGTGCATTCAGAAATACATAATATAATCAAGCAGAGTCAGCGTGGCTTCATGAAGGGAAAATTATGCCTGAAACATTTATTAGAATTGAGGAGGTGATGAGGATGAATACAATACAGATTAATCTAGAATTCCATCAGGGGAGTACACGTGAAGTAAAAAACCAAAAGAACTACGGATGCTGAAAATCAGAAACAAAAACAAAAGTTGCTGTAAAAGCTCATCAGGTCTGGTAGCAGCTGTGGAGAGAAATCAGAGTTAACATTTTAGGTCCAGTTACCCTTCCTAAGAACTGATGGCAATTCGTAAAATGTTGTTTTTTGTGCAGAAGATAGGGTGGGGGGAGAGGGGAAGGAGTACATGATAGGTAGAGATGGAGCCCAAAGAGACAAAAGGACAGCTGGACAGACAAAGGAGTGGATAACGATCCACTGTTAATGGGACTGTTACTGGCTAACAATGGGCTGTGTGTAATAGCACACCATGTAATAACAAAGCCTGGTGTGTGGGGGTACACGTGAAGTGATTGACAAGCCAGAACCTGATGAAACATGTGATGGGGCAAAGAGTGGTGGACACATGTTACACACTGTCAGTCTCATGGAAAACATCAATGCCATCACAATTGCTGAAGAGTTGGTAAAAATTCAAATGATCTGTCCTTAGAAAAAAGATGACTGCTCCTTAATGGTCAAGACTGAATTAGGCATAAGTCCCCATATACAACCCCTGCAAATTCTGAAAAAAGGCATCCAAATAAATGGGAAGCCATAATAAAACTACCTAAATGTAAAGCGTTATGACATACAATGGTCTGCCAATTCCATGTGCAAGATCAAAAGTGCTGGAATGGAAATACACTCTGTCTGGACATATTATGATCCTCACGGGAAGCGTGCTGTAAACTGAGCCCTACTATTACCAGAGTTGTACGATATGTTAATTTTTTTAGGTTACTCAAAGTACCCTAAATTACCTGACTTTTAGACCAAGATTGATAGAAAGTACTGACCAGGTTCGTTCTAAAGAAGTGTTATTTATTAAAAATATTTAGACTATATTTACAAGTAAAAGAATATAAACCATTGGCATATAACTAAAACCCTAATCCTTTTATAGCTGGAAAGTCAGTTCAATGTTTTTGCTTCCTGAATTCAATATTATGATGATCATACTTTGGCTAGCCAGGTGCTTGGTATTCAGTTGTATTTCTCTGGAAGCTTCTATTGATTTGTAAAAAATACAGTGATTTATTCACTTGGAAAATGTCTGATTTATCAATTCAAAATTCAAAATGCACATCAACTGCTGTAGGAAAGGTAACTGGTTTTCCTCAATGTTAAACTGAGTTTTTCTTTTACTGCAGAGAATAGACAGATTCTACTTAAGTGAACAACAGCACACCCTTCAGAGTGTAAGAGACAACAAGGTGCAGGGCTGGATGAACACAGCAGGCCAAGCAGTATCATAGGAGCAGAGAGGCTGACGTTTCGGGCCTAGACCCTTCATCACCCTTCAGAGTGTTTTCCTTTGTGCGTCTGTATCTGTAACTTGTTTCCAGTTCCAACCTGCTCAGTGGCTGAGAACCGATCAGCTTCACTTGTAAACAACTCCTTGGCTCCTGGTCATCTGCACTTTCCTGGAATCCACAGACACAAAGCAGAGTTAACAATAGGTATTAAATACCTCACTATGAAATTATGCAGCCATCCTTGTAAATCCCTGTTTTTAGAAACAGTTCTTTCTCATTGCACTCCACAGTTTTTAAAGACACAAAAGTAAAAAGACATGGTTTTTACAGACACCGCAGATGTTCGATATTATTAACGATGCTGGCAAGTCTACCAACTGCAGGTCTACCAGTATGCCGTGACATAACATTCGCCATAATCCATGGAATCAGTCAAGCATCAGACAATAAATCAAGCTCAGAAACTTAACCCATCACTTCAATTCCTGACCTGAATCAAATATCCAGAATGTTTTCATAATATCTGCAGTTTTAAGGGAGCCGCAACATTGCATTTGAAGAAGAATTCCAGCTTGTTCATTGTCACATCATGCAACTATAGTGTCTACTTAAAAGATAAATTGAGAATTGAGCTAGGCAAGGTGGAGAGAAATGGAACCATTGAAAGATTACAGAAACACAATCTGGTGTGGTTCAATAGCATGCATCATGAAGGATAGATCTTTGAGTGTATTTCTTCTTCCACAACACCTAAATGCACCCTTGAAATGGTACCCTTTTTAAATATTCCTTTAGAAGAGCTAAATGGGAGATTTACTGGTGAAAAATACTTCTTGAAGCTTGAGGTCAAGAATGGTTGCTAGTAAATAGATCTTATTGAGGAGTCCCAAGAGACCTTTTACATTTAATAAACCATTCAGACTATACTGTTTTCAACAACTCCTCTTCGGGCTATGGGTTTGCCAGGATTTCTTTTAATCTGACATGGACTGGACCACTGCATCCACATCATTGATAATATTCTTGAAAAAAACAAGAACTTGACCACAATCTATATTTATTGATGCATGTGGCATAAAATTAAGAATTGCTGAAAGGAGAGCATAATTTGAAACTTTTCACCTTACACTCAGAAAGAGTACATAAGAAACAGATTTGAAAAAGAGAAAGTGTTTTGTATAGAATGT